CAGCCTGAAGGTGCAATTTCACGTAGCGTCAAACGCTAGCGGCTCTCCCCACTCTGGCGCTTTTGGTCGATGCGTCGTTTTGCCGCTTGAAGTTCGGAAAGGCCCAACTCGAGCGAAAAATAGACGTGTTTGAATTGGTTTGAATGTTGTATCAGTTGTATCAACAAAAAATGAGTTTCAACGACAACGACAGTGAACATTGGAACGAGGTTTGTGTATAATGTGTTATTAATATTAATTATTTAATAGATTGTATATTGACCTAATGCCTGAAAGGATTTGCAGTAACATATCTTTGTACATAACCTCTATTTAGCCTCTATTTAATGTTTGAACTGATACATCGTCCTTGGAATTGCAAAGCATGGAATTAATATTGTATTTTGCTTTATAGGAAATGGAAATTGTTTATACGTGTGGGCTGTACGAGATGATTTGCAAGGCCGATGAAATGCAGAGCCACCCGTGCATGGAATCTTTTACACATTATTATCTGGACGAGCAGCATTATTTTTATCCACAGTGTGGTAAGTACTTTATGATAAAATGCATACTATTGTTAAAAGTTTAATACGTGTGCTAGTACTGTTAGCTTTTGTATGTGCAGAGGACGGAACTATTCTGCGTAGAAGCCTTGTGGACGGCATTGAACAAAATGTTTTGGAGATGCCAGAATGTGCAGAAGAGAATATTCAGGAGACAGGAATTCCGAATGAGGAAGAATTTAACATAGAAAATCTTCCGAAGAATGAAAATTTACGGAAGATATTTATAGAAGAACGTCTCATTGAGGCGATTCGAAGACGACCGCCTCTTTGAAATTTCAAGCTTCCAATTGTAGAAAGAGGTGTTCGGAACAAAGAGAAGTTGTGAATGGATGTAGTTGCAGTTATAAAAGGTAAAATTTTTTAAAATAACGTATCTATGTGTAATAAGGTTTATTACGACTCATTGTGCATTCTTGTTTCGCAGATGTGGTTACTCTAGCTGAAGCCAAAAGGAAGTGGAAGTCCCTCTCAGATACATTCAGAAGGCATCGAAAAAGTGCGGAGTTGCCAAGTGGCTCAGCACGCTAAGAAGATGTCGAAGTGAGTTCACTTCGACAGAATGAGCTTCCTTCAAGATATAAATCTTCAAAATGAGTATGTATGAACTGTGCATAATAAAAATAAATATGATAAAAATAATGTACCTACATATACATGAATTAATGAAAAATATTTCTTGTCATTTCAGAACGACGTCAAACATCTCTGTCGCATATGAAGACACTTCAGCTGATGCTTGATTGTGAATAGCGTGGATTGATAGTATGAGTAGTGTGTCACATACATACACGTAAGATTTTTTGGATTCATTATTTATATTTATGGATCATCTACAATGAGTGGCTTTATGACTAAGACTAAGCTCCTTGTAGACACCCTTTACTATCAGAATGAATAACACGGTACCAATAAAACTAAAATGTCTTTATTCTTTCAGGTGTCGAAAAAGGAATAAAGAGGATAATTTTATAAATAAAATACGGGAGTTGATACAGGAGCCCATAAATATTGATATACAGCAGAATGCCCAGAGTCCGTCTGCTGGATTCTGCACCACGGTTGCTCACAAGCTCGATGCCCTGAGTGAAGATGCACGGGACAGGGCGATGATGCGAATACTCGAGGTGCTGCGTGAAGAACGTCAGAGACAAAACTAGATTTAAGTTGTAAATAAAGATTTAGAATATAACTTTTTTATGTAATTTTTCTACTGTTTGTGATAATTTGTGATAATATATTAAATGATAATTTATATATGTTATATATTTTTGTAATTTATTTATATATAATATACTAACTACAAAAAAATAACTCAATACATGTTTATAATAATACTTCTTTATTTATGTCGGTTATTCTGCCAAGGTACCTCTCCTTCACTACAAAAGTAATCGCAAAATTCATCGCGCATCTGAATACAGTTTCGCGCACTGGTATTCGAGCCACAATGACCAATATTTCGAAAAGCACAACCATCTTCAAAGATTCTTCGCCAAGAACCTGATGTGAAACTATTTGGATCATTGGCATGAATTTCATCCACCATATCCGCAGAAACATATGCATTTTTATCAATGTCGTCTTTGCGGATCCAATTATGCAGACAAACCGTCGCCTGCACCATCAATTTAGCATTCTCTGGGAAAGCAATAATTGGTTTGCGATATAGCCGCCACTGGCTGGCTAAAATACCAAAAGTATTTTCGATAAACCTTCTCGCACGGCTTAACCGATGTTAAAAATATCTTGCTCCGATGTCAGTCCGTTCTTGCCTGGATAAGGACGAAGCAAATATGATTTTAAAGGGAATGCTTCGTCTCCCACGAGACAGTATGGCAAAATTCGTCCTCCTGCAACAGTTGATGGTTTTGGTTCATTCATGCGGTTTGCATTGAAGTTCTTGCCGATAGCACTGTCGCCGAAAATACCTCCATCGCTTCGTCGTCCGTACGCCCCGATGTCAACAAAACGAAATATATAGCGTGCATCACAAATGGCCATTAATACTACACTATGAGCATGCTTGTAGTTGTAGTACGTTGAACCAGCATTGTTGGGACACTGGAACAAAATTAGCCATTCATTATTTTTAAGACTGAAAATATAATAATTTATCGATAACTGGTACGGTACAGTGTGTCAGACAACGAATACTACTGAACACATACTTGAATTGTTACATGTTTTCCATCGATAGCACCAATGCAGTAAATGAAATTGGACAATTCTTCAAAATCATTTGCAATTTCGAGCCAGTCTCCTTCCAACAATACTGATAATAAAACCAAAGGACACAAATTGCTCCAAATTGCTTCGCATGTCTCTCGAATAATATTACAAACTGTTGTTACCCCAACTAGATACTGGTATGACATTGACGTCATTGAATCGCCAGAAGCAAGATACCTAGAACATTGCAAAGATACAAAGATATATAATATTTAAACAATATCAAAGCAGTGAACAAGTTTCTTGTATAAAATTTGCAGTAATTTTAACATTTACAAACCTTAATGTTATCATCAAACGTTCTTTCGGTTGTATGGGCTCTCGAATAACATTTTCTTTTATCAATAGCGGTCCAACAATAGATAACAATTCCTCAAATTGTGTTGCGGACATTCGGAAATAATTGTGGAATCGTACTCCATTCTCTATGGTCAGTTTAGGAATTGACACATAATAAAAACTGTGCTCTGGACGATCCTTTAGATATGGTGCTACCCAGTATTGCTTCTTCCTGTACGGTCTCTTTTCATTTTTTTGCAATTTTCGCATAATTGCACACAACACCAGTATTCGTCGTTTCTTAATCTCTTTAGCTATTACTGATAGCAATGTATTTTGTAATGTTGTCGATAAAATACTGTTCGGACAGTTTAAACGCACTTTGACACGCATCCTAATTGTCAGTTTCATACACGAATTTAAATCTATAGAAAAAATTTAAAAAATACAGAAAATATAAATCCACAGCGACTAGCGATTTTTCGCTCCATGAAAAAGTAGCGGGCGTTTAGCGGCTGGCGTTTTATCGGCAGCTTACTATTGAGAGGAAATGTATCACAGAGTGGGGGTAGCCGCTAGCTTTTTGACGCTACGTGAAATTGCACCTTGAGAGTGCAGGCAAGAATAAAGAACGCTTCAATGCAAAAATAATATGGCGTGCCACATTATACCTGTGGAATTGTTAAATTTATCTGATAAAGATAATTGTATAATTGCAATTCCACTATTAGAAAATATAAATATATAAAATATATAAATATAAGTAGTTATATTTTATATTTTTATATTTTTTTATATTTATATTTATATTTTATATTATTTTTGATAAATATTTACATAAGGTCAGCACCTTTGAAAGTCAATGACCTTGACATATGTCGTCAAAGACATATTCCCGAGCAACAATCAAAAGGTTTTAGCCGTCGCTCGTTGATTAAAAAGTTATTAAAAAACATTTCTTGAATACATTATCGTACACTTTTCAAGTGAAGCGATTCCACATGGGTTTACGAATTTCTACGCAAAGCGAGATTCAATCCAAATCTATGTGTCTAGTCTTTCGATAGTGGAATCCCCCCGAAGAGGGGGGAGGGGGAGGGCGGAACATACTGCCTCCACGCATACACTTTCCACGCGAAGGGAGGTTATTAACTCCTAAGAGGTTCCACATGGGTTTGCAACTGAAAGTTAAAAAACTCGCGTGGAAAGTTGTAAACTTGGAAAGTTGGAACCTGAAAAACAATGATGTATTCAATAAATTTTTAATAACTTTTTAATAAACAACGAGCGACGGCTAAGACCTTTTGATTGTTACTCGGGGATATGTTCTTGACAATATATGTCAAGATCATTATCATCATCAACTTTTGAAGGTGCTGACCTTATGTGAATATTTACCTTATTTTTTTATATTTTATATTGTAAGAGTATATGTACTATATACAGGGTGATTCAAAATAACCTGATGTTCTTGCAATGCCATATTCTTGAGTGAATTCGGAGACGATTTTTCCTTTTACAAAATTTTGTTTGAAGCTTAGTTTTCGAGTTATAATTAAAAATAGTTTGATACTTACGAGTCTAATACAATGGACAGACAGGGACGGTGCAATGCGTCATGAGACGATAGTAAACACTTGACAGTCTCATTATACGTTGCGCGTCCCTGCCTGCCCGTTGTACCGAACTCGTAAGTTGCTATTATAACTCTATGCCTATTTTCAATTATAACTTGAAAACTAAGCTTCGGATAAAATTTTGTAAAAGGAAAAATCGTCTTAGAATCCACTCAAGAATATGGCATTGCAAGGACATCAGGTTATTTTGAATTACCCTGTATATGGTAAAACCATTCACTACAAGCATTGGTAGGCCACTTGTATATTGAAGGATTAAATGCCATCTATTAGAAAGAAAGCACACAAATCGGAGCAGTTAATTCGGAGCTAACAGAGAAATGAGTTAGCTATGAAGACGAGCGGATCTAAAATATTCTTTTGGTCGTGCGAGCGTGTACTGGTCCAAAGTATTTGCAAAGTATTTAAAAGACAGTTAAAAGTAAACGGTGCAAGCGTGCATCTATTGATTAATAAAGGTGAGCGTACCTTTCTCGACAGAAAACTATTCATTAACTTTCTAAAAAAGTGAACGTGGCATAGCGTGATCCCCTTTTTCCTGTATAATAATTTGTGCGGTAAATATACTACCAGTGTTGTTCTTCAAGAAGATCTTTTATTTAAAACCGAACCTCTCGATCATCCTAAACCTTACAATATTTTATATTATAAAATATAAGTACTATAAAATCTTTTTCAGCTAGAAAAGTTCCTATTTTTATACTTACAATTTCTTTTTCACGTTTACTTTGAAATTGCCAGCTATTTGATTGATCTAACTATTCTCGCACTGCTTGCACAGGCTTTAGACCCGGTGTAACCAGTTCAATAAACTCTTGCACTAACAATAAATTTCATTGCACTGCAATAGAGAACAGCGTTGGTAACACCAGTTCTGCAATAAAGACCGCTTCAGTGTACACTTCTTGAATTAGTGCAGCCAGTTGAGGAGAAAAACAAACCTTATATATGTAGTTCAGTACTTACTAACAAGGAAGTTTTGATAACCCAAAAATTCTAAAAAACCTGAAACTTTCCAGAAATATAATACCAGAAATATAAACCTAATCAAAAAGCTATTTTTTGTTTTGATTATAAAATGATTCTAGAGGTGAAAACACTATTCAAGAAATCCGATTTTCCGAAAGGTACTTCCATCTCTAGAATCATTTTTTGCCAAAACAAGAAATAGCTTTTTAATTAGGTTCACATATTATATTTTTGCAGTTTCAAATTTTTTCGGTTTATTAAACCGTCCTTGTAAGTTATAATTGGAAATGTTATTAAATCGGATCATATAATAGTGTCTGTATAAATATAGTCAATGTTTAATCCAACATTTGTAGAAACTGATTAATTAATTGAAACATAACCAATTCAAACATAACTTACCTTTTACCAATATCGTAAATTAGAAACGATAAACTTTCAAAATAATTATAGCAACTGGCAGCAAATTTTGTTCCTGTAGGATCAAATGAGATTAAATTCATATAAGAATCGTCGATTCTATTTTGTTCCACGCCGACTCCATAAGATATTTCATTTTCTTCTGTACAACCTTTTTTGTCATCTGTATATTTCAGTATCTACGCAAAAACAAACTTTTTACATACTACATTAACATAACATTATTGCAATTTTTCTTTAATCTTACCTTTATTGACTTCGTAAAACTATTCGCAGTTATAATGTGTTGCGATGTTGCGTCTATGAGATCAATTTGATCACCTAGATATATATTTCTGAATATTTAAAATCATTTTTTTTATCCTCCTCTGATTCAATTCTCCAGTGCTTAATAATACCTTTTCTGCAAGGATTTTTGTCAAAAATAAAAAAAAGAAATAAACATAAGACACAGTTTATAAATATAAATACTCACCCATTACCACTTATAATATAATCATCGCAATGAGCAATAGATTTAATAAAATTGTAGTTATCTCCCACAATCTTTTCATCCTTTTTAATGGTACCGTTCTCTGCGCGATTATAAACAAGAAAATTACCATCTTCACAAAACCAAACCGTATTTTTAGTCACTTGTAGGCATTTGTTACTACATTTAAAATATATTTTCTGTTCTGCTTCATATATTTTACTTTTTTTATATCCTCCATATATCCAGTTGTAATATGTAATAAATATAGAATTATATAAAGATAATAGTGGTTTATGTCTGTAAAAGAAAATAAGACATGTGTTCTTCTGTAAAATCGTGAATATTCTATCTTCTGTCTTCTATCTTCTGAAAATATGTAAATATTGAAATGTATTTTAAAAACATATGATTAAAAAATTAAATTAAGTTTTGCATAATTAAAATCAAGATAAAAAGTTGTAACTTAACATCAATATGTGAAAAAGTTTTATCGACAAATATTGTATTAGATATGAAAAAAGTATGTTTGTTAGAAACACTTTCCTATTAATACATTTAATTGGACAAATTTGGATTAACTTAGAAGTGATTAATGATGTCATTACACCGTCTCTGTCAATAAAAAACGAAATATTAAAAGAATCGGTTTAGCAACCAAAGTGATAAGAAGAAAATTCTAGAACAGTGCTCGGAATTAGTTGAGCATTTCAGCCGATATCCGTGGTTGACGCTTCCTTTTCTCTCCTTACCGCGCGCGCCGCAGCTACTAGGGCCAGCAACGCCGACACGTTCTTTTTTCTATGGTTTTCCCAGTAGGCCCATTCCACTGAAGATAAGAAATAACAAATTCTTAACCAATTGAGTGGTAATGTATTATATATGTACAAAAAAAAAGTACCAAACGTGGTAATGTATCATATATGTACATACATTTCTAAATAACTCCACTAATTTTCAACAGATTTGCATAAAATTTGATATCCTAAAGTTTTTTGGGCTGCTGAATTCGAATCTGTTGTCAAAATTGCAAAATTCAAAATGGCGGATCCAATATGGCGACTGTTAATTGTTAAAACAACTAAAATATTAGAGTTAGGTAAAATATGTATAAAACCTAATTTGTAGAGCTTTTTATGAGCTTTATTTTTTGTTTGACAATTTTTTCCGTACAATAACTACTTTCTGAAATAATTAACAAAAACAGTTTTATTTTTGAACCTTTGAGGGGGGCTGGGGGCGGAGGGGGCATTTGCGCCAAAAATCCATTTGGGAATATTATTTACTAGATAAAATAAGTATTTAGGCTGAATGTAAGCCAAATCGGAGGTGATAGCTTTTCGGAAGTCCACTCTCTTTTTTGATCCACCTCCACTTTTGACTGGAAAGTCGTAGTAAACATTTTCAAAAATCATTGTTCTTGTCTTGAAACGCCCTTTCAAATGATCCCCACTCGATCCATAGTGCCATTTAATATTTTCCACCCCTATTCTGCCCCCCGCTCCTCAGGACGTGGGGGGGGGGAATCCACACCCATTCCGAAAAGTTGCTTTTTTTAACTTTGAACCCATGTTTCACCGTTTTTCGATATTTTAAATTTTGGCTTTTACCACTTTTGGCACAATTTTTCGGAAAAGTCTACCACTTAACTGGTTAATTTAAAAAAAATAGAATATAAAAAATATTAGGTCTATAACTTGAAACCCGGTTTTCTTTTGGAAAAATTAAGTCTTTATTTAAGAAACAAATGAAAAAAATACATCAATCAAAGTATTGGCCATCGTTAAGGCCTATCCAGACAAACTTGCATAACTACATAAGCATATGCATAGAGAAAATGACCAATCACATGTCTTATATAAGGGACGCCATATTGTCGCATAAAACGTAAGCATATCATATACATAGTGTCAAAAAAATTTAATGTATTCAACAACCTTGCATAGAGTATACATAGAGATTCAAACCAATCACGTCTAAATAGACAAAATCGCTACGATTGTTGCACAAAACATAAATGTGGCATATGCATAAGCAGAAGAATTTCATATCGTTGAAATTTTATGCAATATGCGTATGCAGGAGCTAATACCATTTTATATTAAAACAGTGTTCCAGAATATCACTCTATATAAAATGTTGATTTCTCATACATTTAAAAAATTCATTTGCATTAAGATATAAATATAAAGACTCATAAAATTATTTTGACCAAGCTTCGATTAATTTAATCGGCGATTAAAACTTATCAAATAATATGTCAACTCTATTATATCAATTTATAAATATTAATTATATATCTATATATATTTATATATTTATATATTTATATATATTATATATCTATTATATCTATTATATCAATTTATCAAATAATATCTATATTAACATGAATAATAATATCTTTTAATAATATAATATATTTTTTTATAATCTATTTTATTAACATGAATAGAATTCTAATGTTCTTTTGTTTGTCACATGGAAAGAAAAATTAGTTGATTAAGGACAAATTATAATATAGTTAGAAATTATATCGTTGTTGTTGTTTGGATTTTAGTTAAGAATGATGCTGAGAGAAGGCGCGCGATCGAGCAAGCAAGCGCGAGCGTGCTGTGTGTGACGAGAGACGTCACTGTAAATTATTAGATCGAATCACTATACCCAGAAATGCTTTCAGGGGAATACAAGAGCAGATTGCACTTCGAGAATTGCTTGTGTGCATGCTTCCCCTACCACGGAGCCCTGGTGCTGGCCGGCTCGAGTTTGCATCACTGCTTCCGAGCCAATCCAGTGCCACAAGACTACAAGATGGGTAACCTTCCTAAGTCAAGAATCACTCCGTCTCGACCACTCTTTTACCGTCCGACCATCTCTTTTACATCACCGGCGTAGATTATGCTGGTCCGTTTTTTATTCGCGAAAGGAGTCGTAGTAAAATAATCGATAATCAAATCTTACCTTTGCCTATTTGTATGCTTCTCTACAAAGGCTGTACATTTTGAGTTAGCTACGGATATGAGTACTCAAGCATTTTTGAATTGTTTGCGTAGATTTATTGCTAGGAGAGGAAAATGTCAAGCTATCCATAGTGACAACGGAACTAATTTTGTTGCAGCTGCAAACAGAGCTAACAGAATTAGGAGCTTTACTTAGAAGCAAGAGTCACAACGAACAAGTACAAGATTTTTTGAGCCAAGATCAGATAATATGGCATAATATTCCACCCCATGCTCCAAATTTCGGTGGATTGTGGGAAAGTGCTGTGAGATCCGCGAAATATCATTTAAAGCGAATTTTAACTAATCTGCCTTTAACATATGAAGAACTATACACGGTACTGACACAAATTGAGGCTATCCTGAACTCTCGACCCTTATCTCCTTTATCTGACGATCCCAATGATCTCATTCCTTTTACTCCTGCACACTTTCTTATTGGAGATTCTTTAATTGCTTTACCACAACAAGATTTGCAGGACACCAACTGCAATCGATTGACAAAATATGAGAGGCTTCAACAGTTGGTTCAACATTTTTAGAGACTCTAGAATGTTGAATAATTGCATCAATTACAAACGAGATATAAATGGAAAACACAACCTAAGGTTACAATCGAAGCTGGCATGATGGTCGTCCTGCGAGACGATAATACAGCTTCCATGCACTGGCAACTTGGACGCATTGTAGCAGTGCATCCTGGAAAGGATCAGATTGTTAGGGTGGTCACTGTAAAAACATCCACTGGGAGTTACCAAAGGCCATTATCTAAAGTTTGCCTTTTGTCAATCTAAAGGCCATCACACACAAAATGACATAACTGCATATGCATAGCATAAGACCGTCTCGACCAATGAGCATGCTATGTAAATCAATATGGCGCCTTTATGCTAGATGTTCATTAGTCGAGACGGTCATATGCTTTGCATATGCAGTTATGTCATTTTGTGTGTGATGGCCTTAAGGATTTAATACTCCTATTTAACCTGTAACCTAATATACATATTCTCTTTACAGGAGTCTATCTAATTGATAGATTCATTTTTTAGTCATTATCCATTTATTTTATTTAATTTCAAATTTGATTTGTTACGATAAGTATTATTTCTAAGCGATAAGTGTGTTCTTGAATTAAGATGACATTTTATTTTAGTTATAAATGATTACCAAAATCATAAGCATCATATTTCTTTGGATTAGTTATATTTGGATTTAGTTATTATGTGATTTCAATTGGAAGCTTTTCTGCAAGATCTATAGAGAGAAGGTTACCTCAGGCAAACCGGTTGTGGGCGAGAGACGATGAAGTAAGGGGAGAGCTAGAAAC